GCAACACTTTTCACTTTATTCCTGTAAACAAAAATGATGACATCAAAGTCAGTGGGTATTTCTTTGCTGAATTTGAATATTAATTAGATATTAATTAATTAATATTAATATTATTTAGAGCCAAACCAAAAAAGTTAAAATATAGTCAGTTTTAGTGATTCAATTTATCAACCCAGGTTCACAATGAACTGCTTTAAAAGTAAAACATGCTATAAAATTGATGAACCATGAAAAATTTAAAAATACATAAATAACCTACTATAATGTCAAAACTATACTAGTACTGTTATATTCAAGTTTAAAAAAACAGAAGACCAAGTCTTTACATATAATTATTGTATTTAAAATTTCAATAGACTTTTGATCTCCAAGATCTATTAACTCATTTTAGGTTCAATTCACTCATAATACTGCTTTCTGTGACACTGAAAAATTAAGTCATTTATTTCCATTAAGTTGAGAATGAAAATCTGATAATTGTGAAATTGGTGGCATAGAATAAAACATAACTTAAGATATGCCTATACAAATTATAGTAAGAGATGTAAAGGAGACTATTTCTGACTATAAAAATTCATGATAAATATATTTATCAATAAAATTAACATAGAATGTAAGTGAAAATAAAAGCAAAAAATTATGATAATTATTTTCTACACGCATCTTAGTAAGATATAAACTGTCTTTGGTTAAAATGTAGACAAAACTAATTCTGCTAGAAATTTTTGAAATTTGAGTCGTAATAAAGATCTTCCTAATTTTAACACTCCCACGGACACAAAAATACTTATTTACATTATATATAATTATGCACTAGCAATGTTTAAAATTTTATAAAATAAAGCAATTAAAATGATAAAACAATATATCATGAATTTATAATGCAGGTTCACAAATTCCATTTTATCAGTACTAATATAAATTTGTGCTAGTATTACAAAGATAATTTGCTATATGATGCTTGAATAGAAGAAAACATCAATTTATTAATGAAATCATAAGTCTAAATTTAGGAGAGATAGAATTGAGAAAAGCCATACTTTGGTTATTATTTAATGCTTATTACTGGAGAATGGCAATTTTTAATTTTTTTAATTATAAAATATATTGTTAGAGTATTAGCATTGGACATTCAGCATCTTTCAATATTTTAAAATTTATTTCAGAAGTCCCAACTTAAAGGAGCAATTGTCCTGCTTTTGAAGAAAAATGAATTACATTTTTATCTTAAACAAAATTTCAAGAGAAAACAAGTTTCTATTTAATTTTTCACTCTTAATTTCATACAGGTTGACTTTATGTTCCAAGGCAGATTTAACTTGAGAGCAAAATAATAAGAAAAAATATTTATTTAATTAATGATTAAATTTTTTACAAATATTTTATTATCCTTGCAATTTATACTTGATCATAAACATATAAATCACTTTTAGTTGTTCTTATAATTCTAACAAACTACTTGTATTACTTAATATAAGTTCTAGTTCCTTTAAAATAATGTAGTACTAAGTTATAAAACCTGCCCACAATATTATATATTTCATTTAAACAGAAGGACTAATATGTGCATTAAAAACAAGTTTAAAGAACCTAGCACATGTTTAAAATCACTTCATTTATGCTTATACAGAAGAAACAGCTTGCTTTTTTCCATACATCTAATCCCTATTATGTGTTTCTCAGCATCAAAATTTGACATGAAGTATTAGAACTAATGTAATATTTTTGAGAAAATTCAATTATATTGTTCTTATAAATTCCGTATATAGTATTAAATGAATGCAATAGAGATTTTATAATAAATTTTACAATTTCTCATAATCTTATTTGCCATGGAAGATAAAGACATCTTTCAACATTGAATTTTTTAGAGATGGATATACTGAACTAGCTAATATAGAAAACACAAGGAGTTTTTCCATTAGTATTTCATAAAAAAAAAAGTATGGCCTAGAAAATAAGTCAATACTGTAAGAAGCAAAAAAGTTGAAAAACTTTCATGGAATCATGAACTTGGAAATTTATAATGGAGAAATTTTACTTCATGCTATGCTTAGCACTTGTTTCCCCCCAAACATTTTTCTTATATTATTCTTTAGACTTTATAGTTTTTACTTATGTTTTGTGATTTAATAAACACACGCAGAGAGACACACAGAGGCACACCTTTCTAAACAGCTTTGTTTTAAAGGTCTGTCTTTGAAAGAAAGGCTTCCCTTTGAAACCTCTTTTTCTCTCCTCCCTCCCCCCCCCCCCCCCCCCCCCCCCGCCCCTCCATCCCCTCCCAAGACTTCCTTGTATCACCATTCAGAAGTTGACTGAAGCAGGTTGAAGAGAAATTTCATTACATAGTTATATCTAAGGTAAGGTAAAGTGGTGAGTGAGAAGAAACCAGCAGTCTCCAAGGTATGTTCAAGTGTAAGTGGCAGCTCCTAGAGCTCAAAAGTGTGCCATTTACTAGTTGCTAGTTACCTGCAACGCACTGCTTAAATCCGAATCCTTCTATTTCTCAGTTCTCAGTTTCACTGAACCACTAAAATGCAAACCAAAAGAAGCTTCATGATTTTTTTTTAATGGATGTCCACAGATCGAGTATATCTTCCGTTAGTTTTATCTGGCATTTTCCACAATACTTTTAGTAGATAGTATTATATTACTAAATATTTCTGGTTACTGTTTAGTGAAGTGGTTGCCTAAAATTCTCTTTGGATAAAGCCTTTTAATACTTTCAGCGAGACTCCTTCGACAAACTACCCGAGTTTTGAAAGTTTAGTATTACTCTTTGTACTTCAACTTTTAATATCAGAGCACATATTGAAACCATAAACACAATGAAATTTCGAAAAAAAATTCCGACAATATTAGAAGAATTTTTTATCCTTTTTTTTTTCCTTTTTCATCCTTAAAGGGCCAAGGGCGTGGGGAGTGGCAGTAAGAAATATTCTTAAGATCTAAGTCCTGGACGCCGTCCTGCCAGGACTTAATACTCTTGGAAACGTGCAACCTGAAGAACCCCCCCTTTTCGAAGTCTAAAAACACATTGAGACCCCAAATACTCACAAAGAAAGTCTTACCGTCAAATGCCTGTAAGCAGGTTCCAGCTCAGACCCAGACTGAAAAGCTGAGCAGCTGGTGAACAAAAGTTTTAACTTCTTTAAAACGAAGTCTGCAAAACTAATTTCCCTTAAAATAGGGCTCAATTTCCGTTAAAGAAGGCAGCACTAACAAATCTTAGATTTGCTGATCACCACCCCCCCCCCCACTGCCCCACCTCTTAGCATTGGAAAACAATACTATCTTTCACATGGATGTTAAGATTTATTGGAAAATTAACTATTCTGGCTTATGACTTGAGGAAAAGGGAGAGAGATAGTAAGGTGTCTGTGTGGAGGTGGGGTGGGGGGGTGGTGGCCAAGGAAAAATGTTTTGCCTTGGGATCACTTCTCAAAGATTAATCAATATTTTTTTCTTAATTCAAACCAGATGGTTAGCCCAGTTTGCTGCTCATTAATCCCATTAACAACTTCAAAGATCTAGCCCCCACCCTCTGGACACCCGAGACAATGAAAATAATGGGGTGACGTTGCTGGTGGCTCATGCAAGTTCCCTCCTCTGATAGGTGAGCACGGATTCACTCGTGAAAAATCCAAGTTTCTCTGCGTCCAGACTGAGCTCCTTCACTTCTGCAGCTCAGGACGCTTATTTCGCTTCCCCTGTGCAAAAGTGTCTGCCCTCAGCAGACAGTATCACCCCTCCAACAAGTGGCTGTAATCAAAGGCCGACTGTCGGTGGCACTGATAAACTAGTGGCGCGTTTTCGCATCTCATTTTCTCTGATGTACCTGGGAGAGCCAGAACACCCAAATTCAGTGAAGTTTGAGGGATATTAGTGTTTAATGTAAATGATGTCCTGGAGCGAGGAGGCCGTGCGATTATTTGATTTTTGAGCGGAAGAGAGGATGGATTTTTTTCTGTAGCTACGTGAGAACCGAGCTGGCTGGGGTGGGGGAGGGGGGCGGGGGGGGAGGGGGTAGGTTGGCAAGGTGCGTGCATTTTACACATCTTACTGACCAGAAGGAAATCGCTAGGGACTGCTGTTGAAGTTCTAGGTGGATTTATAGCAAAGGCATTGACTGGGGCCACAAAAACCAAGGGGAGATGGAGCACTTCTGAGGAAAGCTTGGGGAAGGTCAAGCCCACCTAGCATCACAGGTGAGGCTCCAAGGACCCGAATTGCAGTAACTGTCACCTCTTGTTTTTTCTTCCCCTCTGCCCTCCGGGGTCTCTCTGCTTTCCGCGCCGAGAATGACCCCTTCCAGCCAGCCCTGCAGGTCCCAGTAACAACCTCAGCCAGGGAGTAAGAACTTATTCACAACCCACCCACAGACACCAGCTGCAAGACGTTAAGACGCGCGCTGCGCTCAGGCTACTATGAGATGTGAAGTTTGGAAGCTTCTAGCGCGTTTCCAGCCCGCTCTGGTCTTTTTTCCTTTCTCCTACTGCTTCTTTCATGCTCTTCAAAAACTAGGCGCACCCTAACTTCCCAGGGTAACCGCTCTCCTTCCCCGAGAGCCGAGAGTCGGCGGGATACTGTGTGAGAGCTTGGGGCTGGCGCGCGCTGCAGTGCGCTGGATTTCCCCTGTCCCAGCCCACCCCACCCCTCTACGCCCCGGGACGGGAGGGGAGAGCTGATGGTCTCTGGGGAGCTGTTAGCTGTAGGGTGCAACTTGCAGTCCGGGCGGCTGGCAGGAACGGCGGGCGTGGGCGCGCCGTGTGAGTCCAGCCAGGGCAAGGAAGTGGAACTGGGAGCGCGTGGCGCGGACTGAGCGGGAGTTTTGGAGGCAGTTTGCATGTGGTCAGCGCCGGGCTCCTAAGCCAGCCCCCAGCTCACATTACACTCTATTTATAACCTCTCAGAGCCGTTTCCCCCTGAAAGCAGTTCTCTGGGACCACCTTCTTTTGGCTTCCACCTCTCCTACTCTTGACATCTGAGTAGTTTGGAGGGAAGCTCCTTCGGGTCCCCGGTGTTAGACGTAAAGGAGATTGGCCGCTAGTGCTTAGCACCGAAATTCTCCGAGCTCGCCGAGACACGAGCGGTTTGTGGCGTTGGGAGGGGGAAAAAAGTCGCACGGTATCCAGTGAAAAGTGACAGAGGGTGGTGGCGTTTGGAGCCGTCGGCAAGTCTGCTGCCTGGAACCCGAGACTTGCATGCAATGGAACACCCGCTCTTTGGCTGCCTGCGCAGCCCTCACGCCACCGCGCAAGGCTTGCACCCATTCTCCCAGTCCTCCCTCGCCCTCCATGGAAGATCCGATCATATGTCCTACCCCGAGCTCTCCACTTCTTCCTCGTCTTGCATAATCGCAGGATACCCCAACGAGGAGGGCATGTTTGCCAGCCAGCATCACAGGGGGCACCACCACCACCACCATCACCACCATCACCACCACCAGCAGCAGCAGCACCAAGCGCTGCAGACCAACTGGCACCTCCCGCAGATGTCCTCCCCCCCGAGCGCAGCTCGCCACAGCCTCTGCCTGCAGCCGGACTCGGGAGGGCCCCCGGAACTGGGGAGCAGCCCGCCGGTCCTGTGTTCCAATTCTTCCAGCTTGGGTTCCAGTACCCCCTCCGGGGCTACGTGCGCGCCAGGGGACTACGGCCGCCAGGCGCTGTCACCCGCCGAGGCGGAGAAGAGAAGTGGCGGCAAGAGGAAAAGCGACAGCTCGGGTAAGGCTGCGGTGGGCACCCGGTGGGTGGGGGGAGAGGAATTGGGGACCGAATGATGACGGGATGCTGTTCTGGCACTCGAGAGAGGCGGTAGGGAAGGTGGGAAATGTCTTGGACTGTCCGGCTACCCTGCGCCAAATTCCTCGACCCCGCTTTGGATCTGTTATTTTTTTTTCTCCCCGGGGGCACGTGTTTCTCCAAGGGCAGCTCTTGCAGCCAGCGCGCTAAACTCTCCAAAGTGTAAACTAGTTTAGCAGGAGTCGAGAAAAAAGGACAAGTGACAGTATGCTTGAAATCGATTGGGAAGCGTGACCTTCCATCTGAACGCTGGGGAGGGGAACGCGCCCTGGGTTGCGGTGTCCACCTCGTTCTGCGTGCGTTGTGCTGGGGGTACCACCCTTTGGCTTTTCCTTTGCAAGTCCCTACTCCGAAAGATTTGATTCTCCCCATGATTAACTGGATTTCCTAATTGTTGCACAACGTTTGGAACTCGCAACGCCACTTGGCTGGGCGTCTAAGGAAATTTTTTTTTTATTTCAAGAAGAAATTATGGTTTCAGAGTTATTTAAATAGCATCCTAATCCAAATGGTAAAAAAAAAAAGAATTATTTTCTCTGAGGAAGAAGATATATACTCTAGGCATGCAGCAGATCCTAAGAAATATGTCAAAGAAACAAAAAATAGGTAGTCGATCTTGAAGAAAGACGGTTCTTAGTAGAAGGTGCTAATCTTATGAGAAAAGTTGAGTTCCAAAAAGTGTAAAGTAAAATCATACGCCAAGCTAGTATTACAGAAGACAAGTATTGAGCTACAAAAAGTGAGGCAAATGGTGCTGCTTAAGGTTGGCTTATTAGAGCGCTCCCCAGAGGGACTGATCAATTGGGAATCAATTGAGTAACCTGGGAAAAGTGGAATCTTATTAAAAGGGATGCTTGAAAGCAAAGCCTAGGAACTAAATAGTAGCATCCCAGAGGAACCATAGCTTTCCCGGCAAACTTTTATCAATTTTTATTAAATTGTTGGAAAATGATTTGCAATGAATGGGGATTGTCACTAGTTTCCTGTAGCCATTGTACAATCTCCGTTTCTTCTTTTTCGAAGGTCTCGTTTCCGTTTTTCCCTTTGTGAAATTGATTTAATAGTCCTAGAAGGTATTCCATATACTACTTAAAAGGACTGAAAAAATGTTCATCACTTGTAATGCTTTAGGTCGGATCCCACATAATTGATTGAGCGTATATTTTGAGTTACTTTGCATCAAAGATGTCAACTGTTCATCACCAACAGTATAGGATGGCATCTTTTGTAACAAATTGAAAGTTCAACTTACTTTCCATGATCAAGGGTGGATTTTTAATATGTCATCACAAATTACTTTGTATGTAAGAAAGTCATGATCAGATCTCATTTTGAAATAGGGTCTACTTACCATAAGTGAAATTCTCTTGCCCGTAGGGTTGAAAAGTTTATCACGGTAAGGTTTCTCCATCCTCATTTACACTCACAGTTTGAGAATACAGTGAGCAGCTGATAGATTTAATTTGATATCTACCTCTACATATACGTATATATACATATGAAATAAAATGTCGATTTCAGATTAGGTTGGTCAGCATACTTCCCCAATTACCAGAAGTTCTTAATATTCATTTGCTTTCTGAAATACAAAAACCCATATGATGGAATGTTCCTGGACAGAACCAATGCATATTAATTCCTGTGTAAAGGAACAGTGTATTTTCACATAGATACACGTTATTTTGGTGGTGGATGGGGGCCAGCAAAAGTAAATCCTAGGACATATTACCTTAAGACATTTTGATAATAATTCTCTTAAGAAAATGATTGTCATAGTGCTAACCTCTTTTGGTTGGGACATATGCATATTATATATGTATAGTATATAAATTTATTTATGTATATTGAATCTGATAGAGTGATTAAAAAATAGGAGCACAAAGGCTTGCCTCAGATACACAATCAATTATGAATGACTGCATCTTGACTGAGAAGTGCAACTAATTTTTTTAGAATCACTTGGACGTTAAAATGAGCATTTCCTTTGATGGTATAATTTAAAAAATCTTGTTTTATTAAATGGAATTATCAATGAACTTCTGGTAAATATATGTATTTCAATTTTCCAAGTTTACAATTTAATAAATTAGCATTTGTTAGTTCTTCTTTTTGATAGGTTCAATTAAAAGTATTGTTTCTTCTATGATGATATTGCATTTGGTCTCATAGTTCCTGCCATGATATTTTAAGAGCATCTTGAGCTTAGAAATTAGAACAATGAAGAAAATCTCTACACATCTTGTATTATTAACCCATATACCTATTATTTAACTTATAGTAATTTTAGTATTTACAAAATATAAAAATTTCTGAACTCTTACTATTTAGGAAGTATATTGGTGAAGGTCACATAATAGAAACCAAAGCGTTTTTTTAGACAGTTTGTAATTGCTATATCTTTATAGTTGAGAGCAATGTAATTCATAAATTTAGGCCAAAGTCACAACTATAATCCTGTATCCTTGGATATAAAGCTGAAATTTTATGTGAATACATACTTGTGCATGCCCATATAAAATTCTAATAGATTTTAAACAGCGGTAAGTATTAAAAGGGAACTTTACTCAGGGTAATGATGGTATACTAAATATGTAACATTTTTGGTGTGTATTTCATGAATTTCCTTTCCCATACAACACATACACATATACACAAACACAGTCAAGAAGAAACTTAAAGGTTTAGAAACAAATATTTATGGACGTTTACTTCCGCTGCAGTTTATTGACAATTGAAAATAACCAAGTTTGTAGAGAAGCATTGTTATTTTATATTTATTAAATTGTTTTGAACTGCTATGGTTTTCAATATCATTTACCAGTCAACATATATCATATCTTCAAAGAGACTCTTAAAAATCATAATTTACGGCTATACTTAAAACAATCTACACAAGTGATGATTTTGAAGGAAAAGTCTATAAATGGTGTAGGTTACTTAACTTCAAATACATTTTATTGTTTTCTAAGTAACTTAATAGGGATAATCTGCTGACTTTCGATTCAAACAACCAAAATAGATTTCAGTTAAAACATTTCAGTTAAGGTGGAGGGATGGGTATTTGATCATTGTATAATGAAACCCAAGCACAAAAATTTATAAGTCTACAACTGTACCTCATGGTGTTTCACTAAAAAAATTTAAAAAAACACATTTCAGTTAAAACACAGATTTCAGAAAAAACATCTTTAGTTTCTGTGGAGATAATATAACAAATCAATATGAAATATTCTTTATTCAAATTTATTGAGTGAATATGAGAAAACTTTATTATAATCAATATTATATCTTTAAAGGGAGCCATTTAGAGTCATGTATTGCACAAGGTTTGAATCATATTGAATTCTAGTAAAACTGCCAATAGTTTATAAATGGACTCTAGTCAGAAAATATTTGTTGCCAAATTTTGTCTATTGGTTGTATAGAGTAAGTAGGTATTACGCTAAAAAGTTTAACTCAGAATAATATTTTATCTCTCTAAGTGTTATATTTATTTTCTGATTTTTCCCAGAGTATCTCGATAATAATTTCTGAAAAGAAAAAGTTAATTTCTATCATCTCTGCTACTGGATTTTTAGTATTTGCTTTAGAACTAAAGTAATCATCTGGTTCTTAATTATGCAGCATAATACTGAATGAATTAAACGTCAAGTCACTGGAATGAAAGAAAAAAAATCAATCAGTCTTCTTGGAGTGATAGATTAGTTTATGATGTGAACACTTTAAATGACCTGACATAAAAAAAAAAATTTGGAATAGCAATGACCTACATGAGTGTTCTTAAATTATTTTAGTCTAATTCTAACAAAACATTCATTTCAATATTAAGCTGGTTTATTACCGAAACAATAGTGGATAGGATGAAGAATAAAAATTAAAAACATAAAAATTAGAATGGGTACCAATTTTGTGTAAAATCTTTATTTACATAGTAAATATGAAAATGAATAACATTAAATATTAAATCTGGATAACACTGCTAATACCTCACTGTGAATTTAAAAACTCCAGCATTAAATATTCAAATTTTAAATTTATGTTCATACTATTTATCAATGAGAATTTAGAATCTACTTTTTAAGCAATGGTATAATGATTATAGGTTTCTGCGAATGACAAATGCTCACAATAAAAAAAAATGTGGAAAATGAAGCACAGAAATTACTTCACCTGTATTTGTAGAGTTAATAGTCATAGATGATTATCTGTTTAAAATTCTGTTTATTTCACCATATTGTCTATTTTTAATAATAGTAAACCATTGTATAGGGGAAATATGGTATCACATTAATCTCAAGTAAGATTGTCATAATAGCATTTTCCTTATTGATTGTAATCATAAAATGGAAAGATTAATTCTCCAGTAATCATTAAATTATAGTTCCTGGCTGTGACATTGGTGATTAGTTCTTATGACTGAAAGGAAGAGAGAGATATAAATAAAATAACAACCAAGGCCAAAACCCATAAATTAAAATTTGAGCTAGATAAGGCTTATTTCTTTTGTAACAAGTGTAAGTAAGGAGACCTGTTTTATTGGCACAGCTTATATCTCTCTATTAGGCCTTCTTAGTCATTTTATAGTTTACTTCTCGGTGAAAAGCTTTTTCCACAGAAATTAAACACACAGAGTTTTTCTCATTTTATTATGATTCTCTTCGTACTCTTTCTTTGGATAGCTGTATTAGATTGAAACCCTAATTAAGGATGCAGAAACATGAAAAAATAGTTGTAGGACTTTTTATCTATCGTAAACCCTAGTCCTCAGTAATGCACAAAATCCAACTGGAAAAATTTTTTTAATATGTGTATTTTTTGTCTTCATGGAGCAAAACTTACAGTAGTAAAATATTATTTAGGTCTTGATTTTAAATTGGTATTTGTGTTGGGCAAAATTCATTTCAATCCAATATCATTTGAGA